GTGTCATCTTTAATACCCAAAAGAATACATTTCATGGCTTGTGCAGGTAAATCTTTGTAAACCTTGGGTAAATCGTAAAATTGGACATCATTGTTATTTAGGGGCACCAATTCTCCATAATCGATTAGCAGCACATGTAAATTATTTTCATTTTTCTTATCTGGAGATTGTAGCAGCACACCTCGTAATATATTCTTACTATTAATCGAGATACCGAATATATCATTCGTAGACGGTATTCGCACGCATTTCGGTAGATTATACATATTGGTTAAATTATATAACATATCATTGCGCATCTGGCAAGCATAGAAGCACAACTCCTCTATCTTATGTATATACGTAACGAATGCGGTGAAATGATAACCTGCAACGAATGCCGTCAAATCACGCAAATGGACACATGACGGTAATGATTCAAGTGTTACTGACTCGGGTTCAGCAAACTTTATTTTACGTACTGTTGGAGTTTTGTCGTCCACTACATTGGTATCGGGCACTTTTTCAGTATCGCTCAATAACGCAATTGAACTCATTGAATCCTTCTCTACACTTCGGTAGCTCGTCCACTTCTCGCCCTCTACACTACGATAAAGCTTACTATCAATGTCGTAATCCAAACACCCGTCTTTATCGCTTAATACCTTATGCCATTCAACAAATTCCTCGAGTAAATACGGAACGGGTTCTAGACCACCAGTTAGGATTTTATTGACATTATGAAGTTGCAAATGTATATTGAATTTACGTGCTAAGTTTGTTACGGCCGCCACACGTGACATGTATTTGTCGTAGGCCATCAAAGCAAACACATTAGCATGAGTTGCTTGGCCAGAATCTTTTCGAAAATGTTTAAATATATCGTTTCTCATCATAACATCACATTCATCCAAATATTTATTTAGATTCGCATTTAATTGCTCAACCTCTCTCTTGCACATGTGATGCATTATCTGCATACGATCTACATTTGAATGGGACGCCATAAGTTTGCCACGTAAAAATTTAAAGCTTCCAAATGCGGGTGTAAATAGTTATAACTGCTCAAATTTTAATAATTGAAAACTTTTAGCAAACTATTTGTCATCAAATAATTGAATACAACTTCCGTTAAATACAGACAAGTAACGGAGCTTTCTAAATAGAGTTACCATACTTTTTGAAATATATATTTTTTATTGAAACATATTTCATTTACATACATACATATCTATATAAAGTAGTAGAGTAGTACATAAAAATCCAAATATTTTGAGAATTAATTCATTTATGGATTTCTTGTTACAATTTATACTTGTGCGATATTCAATATTGGATCGTAGTTAAGAAATAGATTCGGTGTTAAGTAACGACAAAACTTTCAAAGCAAAGTTTTTTTTTTAATATATAGATTGCCAAATGTTCGGTTATACCCGAATTTAGCTGTTCCTTACCTGTTTATATTTCATTATTCGGTAAAACAAGTGTTATTCTATTTGTATATAGATTCTTTATTTAATTAATCATTAATTTATATATCTTTGCTCTTCTTAAATGAAGTGTCTTAAAATAAAATGTATATATTTTTAATCTGGATCTTTATTTGAGTAATACATTCTACATTGTGGTAACTTTACAATGAAGTATCCCATTTTAGTAAAAATACTAAGTTAAATATTTTATCGTCCTTCAACTAAAAATAGATAAATAAGAAGTTATTAAATTATTAATTGCGAATATTTTCAGGTCAATCAATATGGGTTCACTTACTATATGAAGATAAATCGATCTCATCCGGTAATTCAGTGATATTGACGTCAAATCGGTCTTGCACTTCGTTCAAAATTTTGGCGTCTGCTTCATCGGAAACAAATGTTATTGCCAAACCTTTGGTACCAAAACGTCCAGCTCTTGCAACGCGATGCAGGTAAGTGTCAGAATCTTCCGGCATATCATAATTAAATACAATGTTGACACGTTCTATATCCATACCACGTCCAAAAAGATTGGTTGCCACCAAAATACGTTTTTGGAAATCCTTAAACTGTTGATAACGGTTTAAACGTTCTTCTTGGGTCATACCACGATGTATACCAATTGCGGGGAAATTTTGTTCAGTAAGCAATTGGGCAAGCGCCATGCAGCGTTGTACCGATTTTACAAAAATTACAACCTGGTGGATTCACAATTAGTATATTTGGTATTCAAAAGTATTAATCATGTGGTAGCTAAAACCTACTTGATTAAATTCGAGTACATCCAGTAATTCGAACAATTTTTTGTTTTTCTCGTTCTCCTTCAATTTAACATAATGCTGTTGCAGTCCGTGCAATGTCAATTTTGCTTCGTCATCCACATACACTTCCATGGGCTGAAATAAAAAATTAAATGTGATATATTTTAGCTTACAATTTTTGAAAAACCAATGTTATTATGAATCATCTGCCACTTTTCAGCGCTATATTCCAATCCCTGCTGCTGAATCGTTAACAGACAGACAGATGAAGCGTCTTTGATATTATTCACTGTCGTCCAATATAAGACATAGTAAATTTTCAAACATTTATATTCTATAATTACATACGGCCACACAACCACCACATCTCATTAGTTTCGAAACAGGCTACTGTAGCAGCTGCACGCATATAGAATTTCGAGTGATCCCCAATGGAATGTCTAGACCTATATCCGTTTGGTAGTCGGCTTACAGATCCATCCCAGGCATTGCCCTTTCCAATGCTATCTGCGACTAAGCATTGTTCATTCCCATTTGTGAATGATCGATTTATTGACTAATCTTGTTGCATGTTGGAACGTATATAAAAGTACGTCGCAAAGGGTCCACGCCACTTTACAAGACGATATAGCGTTAATTGTTTGATATTTTGTTATTACTTTGATTTTATAGTATTCAGCAAATTACTATATATTATGGTTATCGCTTTTAAATTGACCATTTTGATTGGTCTTCTTTTCATTTATACTTGTCTTTTGATATTTTAGCTTTTGGTATTTGTCTTTTATACGAAATTTATTTTGATATTTGACTTTACGTTTATTAGGGTTTCTGGCTTTTTTTATAATGGTGTAGTGGTGTTTATATTGTGGCAGTTCAGCAATTGAGATAAAGCTTAGTGAGATAACTAGTGGTAGTAGAACAAGTAGAAGAATGGACACGTTGATATTTACATCTTGCATAAATTTTTTGCACACTGGACGTATTTCCTTGCTCAATGTGGCGGAAAACATCATGACTTGTTTTCCATGTGGAGTGCTGCGGAAAATCTCCTGTACGTCACGACGCATATCTTAAAAGAAATAAATTTTTTGTCGATTAGAATTTGTTCGCAAACTATTCATTTTTTTTTTTTATACATATGTACATGAAAAAAATAATTATAATTTCAATCTTACCTAGTTGTTCCAACATTTTGTCACATTCATCAAGAATAAAGTGTTTCAAATGCTTCAAGTTCAATTTTTTATTGCGTATCAAAGCAAGAATACGGCCGGGTGTACCCACAACAATGTGCGGTGTTGTACCCTTCAAAGATTCTTCATCTTTTTGTATAGATAAGCCACCGAAAAATACACCAACCTTCAATAAATGATGTATTTCATATTAAATTGAAGAAATAAAATTTCGCATAATTTTAACAATTACCTTTACAGCCGGCATGTATTTGGAGAATCTTTCGTACTCTTTGCTAATCTGGAATGCTAATTCACGAGTGTGACACATGACTAATACGTATACCACATTCTCTGTCGGTTCCAGCTGTTGTAAAGTGGCAAGTACAAAAACAGCAGTCTTACCCATACCCGACTTAGCCTGGCATAATATATCCATACCCAGTACAGCCTGCGGTATACACTCGTGTTGCACTGTAATCATATTAAAATTTTTCAAATATGGTTAATAGTATTTCAAGATATTTTCTCTCAATAGTTTACAAATCAATGTTTCAGGTTTATTATATTATAAATAATAAACTATATGATAAATCGATCATAATATATCAGATGTCCCTATCATATTTTCATCACAGATGTCGAAACCAATAAGCAAATTTGGTTCCATGTGTGTATACATACATGTATGTATGCATATATATATGTATGCATATACATAAAATGAAAATTTACCTTCGGACGGATGCTCAAAACCGCAATCAACTATTGCACGCAAAATTTCTGGCTTTAACAAAAAGTCACGGAAACCAGAACTGTGAATTGACACGTATGTGCCTTTCACATCCTTCTTTGGCGCTTCTGGAACTTCAGCGACCGTGGTTTCGGTCTGCTCCTCATCTTCATAATCCAAAAGATCATCATTATCAGCCATTTTTACTCAAGCGTCTTCTAGTATTGGAAAATATACGAAAAGTTAGGTTATTCGAGTAATCGTCGGCAAAACCAGCGACAGATGTGATGCCGCCATTTTCTTTTTTCAACTTGGTCAAAAATTTGATTTTTGCTCAAAACATGTTAAAAGAAAACTTATAATGAAGCAGTAATTACCTTTTGTGGAGTTGAAATTAAATTATAGTATATATTACACAATTTATTTCAATTGTTAGAAACTTGCAAAGTCGCGTCACACTTTTTCTTGACTTGTCCGATTTAGTACATTGATGAATATGAGTATGCTACCATATCACAAAATTACTCGTTGCATGCTGTCGGACCTGGTTTTCCGCGCAAATGTGTACAGTGACGCATTGGAATGTAATAGAATAAAAAAAATTAAGCTACTACATTTAAGCGGTGCTGTTGTTAAATCAAGAAAAACAGAACAGATTATTTAAAATTTATAAACATATTATATTTTATTAAAATGTGGAATTTAGCATATAATATTATATTTAATATAATTTGCAATTATTTTTTGAAATAAATATTTCTTCATTATAAAGTATACAAAATAAAAATAATATACAGAAATAAAAATTCCCCACGATCGGTAAGAATATTTTTGTTTATAAATATACCCAAAAAACATTTACGTTATATCTTTTCAGAGTATAGCAAATTCCATATTTTTATTTCTGTATCGGGTATATTACGGTTAAAAACAGTTTATCAGCTGCATTGCAGTCAGCTGTCATTATTTACGGCGATCTCACTTCACTTCGTTAGCCGGTTGGAAAGGAAGTAATTAGACGATTTGCTGCTAGAGTGGGGAACTCACCTGGTTTGATGACGTATTGAAAGCATTTTGTAACTACACAGCTCATAAAATTTAAGTTGTAAAATCAATTGCTAACGGAATTGTATTATGTCGGCCAAAACCTCATATAGCGTTTTAATAACTGTGATATTGATTGTGCCTTTGCTGGTCGAGGCAACCATTTCACCGAGGAAAGGTCGTGTTGAAAAAACCAAAACAACCAAACCGTTAAATGTGTTGGCTGGACCACAAAATGAGTCTGTTTTCGACCGTAATTTGATTAATATGCGTCCTCTTCCACAAGACATTCTAGAACATAATGCAGCATTTTATAAGGATACGACATACCGTAACTTCAATGGGACTGTGCTTGGCTATGTTACTGCGGTAAATAAACGCATATATCGATTGAAATTTATTTTCATGTATCATTATGTTGATATCTAATTTTTTTCATAGTGGAATGCACATGGATATGATGTGGCGAAAATTTTTGCTCGAAAATTCGATATTATCTCACCCGTTTGGTTCCAAATTGTCAAGGACGGTGATGAATATAAAATAGCTGGTGGCCATGATGTTGATGTCAATTGGATGAGGGAATTGAAGCGCAAAGGGAAGCAGGAACGCGGTACTATAAAAAGTTTGTATATCAGATATTATTTACTTATTTGAACAGAAAAAACCATAAAATATTCGCATAGTTTTTCCACGTTTTATATTTGACAAATTCACGGAACGGGACTTTTCACGTTTGTTGAGCTTGGAAACCGAAAGGGTACGACTAAATGAAATGTTGATTAATGTTTGCAAAAACTATGAATTTGATGGCATTGTCATTGAATTTTGGACACAACTTGGAGGACGTGTCGAGGATACATTTTTAATTACGTTAGTACAAAAAATGAGTAAGTTCTTAACTGCTATAAGTTTACTATTGTCAACAGCAACACAAATTTATCTCTTACTATATTAAGGCGAAGCACTTAAAAAAGAAAATTTGCGTCTAATACTTGTTATACCGCCATATCGTCAAGAAATTCCAAACTTATTCACTGAAAGACATCTGAATCAACTGTATAAACACGTTTACGCATTTTCGCTAATGACCTACGATTATTCGAACCCACAGCGACCAGGTACATGCAATAATTTTCCTTGTGTTTACATATATGTATTTCTTTTAACTTTTCTACGATCAGGTGCAAACTCTCCATTATACTGGGTACGACAGTCAGTGGAGCTATTAGCTCCGCCCACAACAAATGATGTTAAAACAAAAAGGCGTAAACTTCTATTGGGCCTCAATATGTATGGAAATGATTATACACCCGACGGTGGCGGCCCAATAGTTGCAGGACAGTTTTTAAAGCTTTTGAAATATATGAAAAAGCGTTTACCCTTTGATGAATTGGATGTTGAAAACTACTTCGAAGTAAAGTGAGTGTGTTAGCAATTAAAAAGTATATTATTTTTCGGTCGAAACTGTATATTTAAATATTTTTTACAGATCCGAAGATGGTAGACACATGATTTTCTATCCTACACTTTATTCCGTTCATGAACGTATAAAACTTGCTCATGAATTGGGCACTGGAATATCTATTTGGGAGTTGGGTCAAGGATTAGACTATTTTTATGATCTCTTTTAATGCTGTTTTTAAGATATTAGAGCATTCATAAGCAATATTTTATTTGGTAAGTAAGTTATTCTAGTTATCTTAACAAATGCAGAATACGTGAATTGTAACTTAACATTCCCGGAACAATGTTCAAAAACTACACGAAAAAGTACGCTAAACGAACTTAGAATATAAACGATAAATTTCAAGAACGACTCGAAACTCATATTTTTATATTCATATATAATAATGAATATAATATTTATTGAATGAGAGATGTTAAGTAGATTTAATTGAGTCACTGCACTCGTCCACAGAAACCACATATTATTACTATTGAAAACCCAGCTCGAATCGAAAAAGACTATGTATTTTTTGTATCTTGCTTTATTTGTTTACTATTTGTATGTATTGTAGAAACAGGCTTAAAAACCTTTCAGTCTGACTTGATTTGAAGCGGATACATCAGATTGGATAATGGAGTAGTGAAACGATAAATAGTACATAATTATGAATAAACTGCATTTTTTTAAACATATACATAGATCTATGTATGTGTAAATGTAAAGTTATCTTGTAGCTATTGTAATCTATAATACATACATAGATGCGATAAAACTAGAATTAGAAAAAAAACTTAATTTCAAGCAAAGAACTAAATACAAATCTGGACAACTATGCAAATGCTTATGCTACCCAAAAACTATGGCGCAGGCGTTGCTTTTCATATTTTCATAAACGAAATCATTAAATTTTCCCCTCAATAGTTGTACCACTACATATCTACATATATTTTTTTTATTACATTGATCAAGCGCATATTTTTCAAACCCTGTTTTAACCCAACAAAATTTCTTCGTTTACGTATACTTTACTGGCGCCACGAATTAATTGTTTCTACTTTAGTAAACCTAAATTATATTTAAACTAAAATTTAATTTTTTAACATATTCCCAAAATCCACATTTTTATGTTTTCTCCTTTGCCTGGTTCATGTTGAAGAGTTGTTGTTTATTAAATACCAATATATTTAGGTTAGGATTAACTGTAACTTCAAACAGAAATACGCAAAACTTCATTGTTACCGTTGTTGTTTGGATTCGCGTTAGCACCCTTACAGTTACCTACCACTGCATTCAATTGCCCATAATCAGTTAGCATTTTGAATAGTTGTTGCTGTTGTTTTAATAAATTCTGCTGCACCTGTGGTGGTTGCGTGCGTTGTTGTTCTTGCTGCTTCTGCTGCTGCTGTTGCTGACGGTTATTACGTGCCAAATCACAGAGCTTGCGGCGTCGTTCATAAAAGTGTGCAACGCGTTCCAATTTCAATTGCTCATCTGCATTGATTGCATTGTTGGCGCTGGAGTTGATGTTACTGTTGCCAGTGACAGCTGTTTCATGGCTATTGTTGCTAGTGCCGTTATTACCTGCATCGTTAGTTTGCTGAGTCGATAGGGTTTTGTGGGTGCCGTTACCGCTGTTGCCACTCTTACTATTATTATTACTAATACCGCCCAAAAAATCGGCTATTTGTCGTGGTGAAAATTTTGGTCGCTTGCTGCCATCATTGCGACCGTTACTACTGTTATTGTTGCTGTTAATAAGCGGCATGCAGCGCTTAATAAACTTGATGCGTTCATTATTATTGGCGGGTGTGTTGCTGACAAAGATTGTTTTGCTGCTTTGCGCCAGCACGGGACCTGCAGTGCTGGGACGTGGTGGTGGCGGTAAGCGACTGGTGGGCGTAACAACAGCAACCGGTGCGCCAGTTTGTGATTTGCTGCGCACCAGTGTGGCACCACCGCTTGAAGTGGAATTACCCGACTTGGCGCGTGAACGTTGCATGGACGAAACCGGCGACATAGCCGAGCCGCAGCCATTGGAGTTGGTATTGAACGTGACCTCCACGTTGCCACCAGTAGCGCCGCTGCTGTTGCTGTTATTACTAGTGTTCTGTTGTTTTTGTTGTGCAGCATACAGTTGGCTTTGCGTAACAGATGAGTTGGTTATGGTAATACTGCCAATGGAAAACTCACTGCCGACCAATGAATTAGAAGTTGAGGTTAAATTAGAGAAATAATTTTGCATCGATGATTTCGAATTGTTGGACAAACGTACGGCGGCAGATGAGTTGGAACAGACAATACCGTTAATGCCACCACCACTTAGCGTGATGGGACTGTTATTGGCTTTACGTGCGTTTAAAATGTGTTTCCTGAATGTTGTTGCGGCACCGAATGGCAGTTTGATGAGACCAAAGCAATTAATGGCAATTGGCTTCGGGATGCCCGCGTAGAGGTAGGCATTCAAGTAAACGTCCTCATAATATTTACTACTGCTACTGTTCTGTTCCGTTTTAATAGCTTTGGCGTTGCCACTGCCGCTGCTTGCACTGCTGCTGCTGCTACTGCTACTGATCGTTTTGTACGTATCCAAAAGTGAGTAGTCGAATTCGAGCAAATCATCATCAATATCTGCGTTTACTTCTTTTGCGTTTATATTATCACTGTTGTTGTTTTGTTGCATCAGTGCACCAACAGCATTTGCAGTGTCAATAGCTGCCGGTGCAACTGCGACATTTATATCAGTGCCGACTTGATCATAATTGGCTTGTGTTAGGAATTCCGTCAGCATTTGTTGTTGCCTTTGTTGGCTTATAACCTCCACTTGGTTGTTGTCAGTTATTTCATAAATTAAATGATCTTCACCAACTCCACCAGGCAGTACATATTGCTGTGCTGTACGTTGCATGCCATTCACGACGTTCGGCAGCAGCAAGCCAGCATCTCCACCAGTAGACATTTGCTCCACCACAGTGTCTACATTATCATCTGTGAGTGAGGGTATATTGTATAGTTGGAAGTGTGCTGACATATTATCATAGGAGGTCTCATAGGCACCGCCCGTGGTTGGCAATGTTGAAAAATCGCTCAATTTATTCGATTTCATATCGACTGAAGCGCATATATCCATTAATTGTTTTGCGCTAACAACACCGCTTTGATCGTATTGTTGTTGATGCATAGCTAAAGTGTTCGGATCGGTCGAATTATCAACCATGTTGGTGTCATAGTGATTATTTAGTGTTTGTTGTTGATAGAGCAGCTGTTGCAATTGCATTGCATCGATAGCAGTGAGTTGTTGTTGTTGCTGCTGTTGTTGTTGCTCTGTAGTATGCTGCAATTGGTGTTGTTCAACCATTGGCCCGGTGCTATTAAACATTTTCAAATCCTCAAGTGTAGCAACATTGTAGGGCACATATTGTTGATGCTGCTGTTGTTGTTGTTGCTGCTGCTGGTAGGCTACAAATTCACCCGTTATTTCAACACCATGACCCTGTTGCTGATGCTGTATCTGCTGTTGTGGTCCACTCGTCATTATTGTTTCGTCATAGCGCATGCGCTTTGCTGACGACGGCACCTGTTGTTGAAACACCTGATGCTGATCCTGTGTCTGTTGTTGTTGTTGTTGCTGTTGCTGTTGTGCAACTGTTGCTGTGTCTAATTCCTTTTCATCAAAGTGTATTTCAGTGTCAGCTGTGCTGAGTATCTCATTAATGAATTTACTATCGAACATATCGTCAAATGTCAGTATGGAATTGTCATCCGATGTGTTATGCGGAAATGCATCGTCACATGTCTGTGCCACTTCTTGAGGCACCACATAATTTGTTGCCATTACTGTTTGCACTACATTCATATTGGCGTTGGCTGTGGGCGTATTCATGGCTGCTTGCAGTAGTTTTTCACTGTTGTTTTCTGTAATTGCTGTAGTAGTTGGCATTTGAAAAATATTGTTAATGCTATTTAAGTTTGTAGTATCCATAACATTTTTAATAAATCCACTCGGTTTCTTATCGATTAAGCCAGTGTTTTCAGTTATTGAAGAAACAGCCTGATCGAGTTCAGTTAGTGGTGTTGTATCAAAGCGTCCTATATCGTTTACTGCAGCAATTTTTGCAATTTCTTTTGAAGTGTGAGTAGAGGAAGAACCGGAATTTCCATTATTTTTGGAGTTTTTCCCGGGAGCATTTGGCGGGTTGCCTGATACTGATTTGCCACTTGAGCTAATACGTTCGTATTCAAGGCTAGAGCTAGAAACAGACGAATCGACCGATTCTTGACCAACAAAAGCAGGACTCTTCACCTAAAAGTTAGGAAAAATAACACATGAATTAACATTTATTGTTTCAATARTTATTTATATATATATAAATATTCGTTAATGTAACATAGTTGAGAAATATATACTTATGTTTAAATATAATCTATATGTTGAATCCGTAAGCAATGCTTACAACAACCATTCCACCTACCTCAGCTAATGTTGTGCTCAACTTTGGTGTTGGTGGTAAAGAGCATGAAGAATTGGATGACGAAGAATAAAGAGCTATTGGTGTTGTGGCCGATGTCTCTATTGTGCCCGCATCCTTGCTATGTTTACCACTATGCGTTACGGCATTCGAAATTGTTGCCGACGGCGGATTATTGGCATTTTCGCTTTTATGGTTATTTGCATTCGAGCCTAAACTGTTGCTGGAGTTTTTCTTGGAGCTTTTGCTCGTCGCTTGTGCACTTTCCGTGCTGGTGTTGCTGGACGTATGAATCCCGACCGAAGCTGCATGGTTGTTATTATTGCTGTGTCGCGATTGTTTACTCCGCGAACGACTTCCACTTGCGCTGCTGCTGCCACCGGATGAGCTGCTCCCAGCCGTTGTACCACCACTTTTACTACTTTTATGACGTGGTGTTGCCGTATATGTGGAAGATGTTGTCGATATGGAGGATGATGATGAAGATGCATTTGATGATGTGGACAAAATGCCTGATAGATCTGAGGGTGAACCCAAAATTTCAGTTGGAGCGGTTAAACCTGAGCCATCTCGCAAACAATCTTGACTATTATCATTGGAAATTAAATTGATCATCTCATTTGCAGTTGGCATATTGGCTAATTTGGACGAGACAGCACCCCAAGCGGAGGGATGCTGCATCATCATGTGATTGTTGAAACCGACCATAGTGTAAATACCCCGACATATGCTGCAAACGATAACATCAGCGGAGGTTTTCTTTGGAACTATACCATAGTAATGCATATCGTTACCGCTTAAACGTTGCACTTGACGTATAGACCGTGCACTTTTGGAATTAGACGAACCGCTGGGCTTTGACGATGAAGCTGTTGAATTGGTCGTAGCATTTTTCCCATTATTATTCGATGACGAACTATTATCTCCTTTATTACGATGATGTTGCTTGTCGGAAACAGTAGCTCGTACTTGCTTTAACATCTTATCAAAATCATAGACTTGATTCCATTTTTGCCCTTGGTGTTTAATTAATGAATTTTCAGAATTTTTAGTAGAATTGCTGGTGGCCTGTGCCTCTGGGCCAGTATTCCCACCTTTAGTTGTGGCCATGGCGGTTGAAAATAAATTGCTGATCGCCGATATATTTTTGGATATTTTTCCGGAGTGCTCTGTGGAAAAGTCGTTGCTGTTGGGCATGACTTGCATACAACGACAAGCGTATTTGGCCTCTGCCTCGTATGGATGTATAACTTTAAGACACAAAAAAGAAGTTCATATATAAGAACTACCTTTTATTGAAGTGAGAAACTTTGCGTTTTTTAACGAATCAGTAGCCAGAATTCTGTAAAAATCAAAGCAAAATTCTACTAGATTTATTTATAGAGGAAGAAATTTCTAACTAATAAATATACATTAACTTGTATTTTATCCATATATATACTATATGTATACATTTTTTTAATGAACTGTTTTACCCTATTATGAAAACGAAAAATATGTACCGAAATCTAAAGAATCAATATTATTGATACTTTTCTATAATACAACACTGTTAATTCTCAATTAATGCCTAATAAACAGCTGATATACTCTGACAGCTGTTAATCACCATGCTACATATAAGTTTTCCGTCCGCTCTTCCAAAACATACACAACCATGAGCATTAAAAAAATTAATACGATATCCAAAAAGCATTTTATATAGATTCTTTTTCAACAAACATTTCCTGCGTCGAATCACATCCTCTAGGCAGATTAGATGCTCAACATCCACACAAAATTTACTATGAAGATTGTACACTATTAAATAAACTTTTTCTAAAAACGTAATAGCACTGAAATACTACGCCTCAGTCAAGTCGATTTTGAGAAACAACGTACCGAATTTATACGACGCGTGCTTGTGTATGAGTGCAAGCAAAAAGCCTCACCCAAAATGCCGTGTACGTAGTGTCCCCGTAGTAAAAAATTATTTTATTTAATTCAGATCCATGGTTAACGGATTAAGATATTGTAGAAATTTACATATGATAATTTATAACAAAATTTTTATCAGTCAGCTCTCCGACAGGAGCAGACACGGCAGAAAATTTTTCGCACTCGTTACTTTTATACGATTACTTTATAGTGACGTACAAAAATAATGCTGGATTTGATAGGGTTGCATTTGATATCTAATATTTTGGATATGGTAGGGCGCTCAATATTTGTAAATGAAATTTAAAAACGTTTTTAAATATCTCCATATATAATTAGATTATATTACAACTATGGATTTGAACGTGTACTTAATTCGTTTAAATAAATTTTGGATGTAATTATTATTCTCTTTTTGAGGCTAATCGATGTTTTTTTAGAACTTCGATAACCAATAATCGAGAAGTCGGTCGATTTGTTATGTTTATCACTTCACCAAAATTTGTGAGAGGTCGAATTGATTTGCGTGCGAGAAGTATTTACAAACAAAATATAATTTTTCGTATTTAAAATAAGTTAGTGTGCATTAAAACTTAAGCGATAAGATAAGAATATAATGGTTCTTGTCAACTTGGCCCGTAATGCGCTCTGTGAATGCAGTTGTTCAGTTGCAGTTCTTCTTGATAAGCCCACAGCACATAAACACACCAACCTCAGTTAAGTGTAAATAACTTTTATATCTTACTTAACTAGTAAATAATTTGTAAACATGGATAAAGAGCCAAAAATTATGACACATGCTTTACCCAATAAACAAGCTATTAACAATCAATCGAATATTGAGGGAAATCTGAAAAAAGACGCGGAATTTATATCAGATGAATATGAGAATGATTCCAATACTAACTCCAATGCTGATAATGAAGAGTATTACGATTCAGTCTCTGAAAATAGCTTTGAATGTGAACCTGACGTGAACCATTCATTTCCAATTTTACACAAATTGGATGCAAAAAAGAAAATTTGTATAAAAAGCGCCAACTATATTTATGGCAAATATGTTCTGAGACAATGTCCTATGTGTGATTCTGAGTTTAATTCTGCTCATTGTTGGAAGAAACATATTAATTACATACATCATTTAGCTACTCCGGAAGATTTGCAATTCAAATACAACGAAGTAGGTGCAAAATGTAAAATTTGTGATTTCCAAACGGCTACTCCAGATTTTAATAAATTATTAGATCATCAAATCTCACATATGCCATTTAGTCTGTTTTTAAAATGTAAATTATGTGATTGGAGAACTAAAACACATCCAAGCATGAATTTTCATTTGCGTCAAGTGCATTCCGATAAATTGGATATGACAACAAAAAGCATTGAGTTAACGGTATGTCCATATTGTCAGCAAGAATTCTCATCACAATGGTATTTGCGAAAGCATATGTTTCAGGAACATGAAAAGACTATTGACGAGAGAACATGTTTTATTTGCTTGGATTGTGGTGAAGAATTTCCCACAAATGTTAGTTTACGTGCGCATGTATTTGAAAAATTTGCAGACAAGTCGGTGGAAGACCTGAGCTTCAAAGAGGTGATTTCAGTTGGGGAAGATAATGATATTTCGTACAAGTGTACTCAATGCCCGACCATATATCGCAAAAGTACATCGAGTCGGACATTAACAAACTTACGCGAACATTATATGTTGCATTTAGGCGAACTTACTGGAAAACACGCATACAAATGTAAATATTGCGATGAAAGTTTTCGTCGATTTGACTATATGCGCTTACACATTTGTGAGGAACTACGTAAAGCCTTGCAGAATTGCGCCAATTCACATACTATATTATGTGCGAAAGACCATAGAAATAAGTTGGCAAAAAGTAAGTTTTAAATATTCACTAATAAAATAAAATGGTTAAATTTAATACTTTTTGTGTTAGAAAATAAGCAACAAGAACCAATCGAACTGAAGAGAGACTACATGAAACACATACGTCATGTTTGTCTAAAATGTGGAAATTCATATGGCAAGTTGTTCCATTGCAAACGGCATATGTATATAAAACATGGCATGAGCAAACCATCGGGATTGGATTTTAAAAAGATAGCAAATCAAAAGGATTCGGAAGTTTATGAATGTACGATATGCGAAGAGTTCACCTGCGATTTGGATTTAAATACAATGCTAGTGCACGCGCGTATACATACCGTTTATGATCCTTTACTTTGTAAAATTTGCAATACATCTTTCGCATACGAAACCGACATACCAGGACATGATTGTATGGATGTGGAGGTTGTTGAAACTGTGAAAGGTACGGTTGTATTTATACATATATTAATAGATAATTTATACATTTATAATCATTAGAGTCAAGATATCCCAGAGAAATTCCCATACCCAATATGGATACTTTCTGTCCTAAATGCGATCTAACATATACAACGCCTTCGTCCTTAACGAGACACATGAATAGAATGCATGGCATGCATGAACCTTACGGACTTGGCTTTGTAGTGTGCGAAACAAATGGTAGCACTGAAGATGTATTTCGTTGCACCCAATGTGAAAATTTTATTATTAATGAGAAAAATTTGAAAGCTATGTTGGAACATGCGCGACTACATTTGCCCTATGAAAGTTTCAGGTGTGTCTTCTGTAAAGAGCGATTTCGTTTTAAAGAGCAGGCGAGACAACATCAATGTTCAAAAAATACAACGGATGCGGTTAATAAAGTGGATAAATACGATCAAAAGATTTTGAAGACGCGCTTAAATAAAATGGGTCGTTTATGTCCTAAATGTGGTAAAAAATTTGCAAAACCAACAGTTTGTAAAGTGCATACAACAAATATACACGGTTTAGATAAGCCTGCTGGACTTGGCTTTGAAAAGCTCAGTGTTGATAACATAGATAGTAATCGGGAAACATACCGTTGTAACGAATGCTTGAACTTCGTTGTAGAAAAACTGGATTTAAGTTTAATGTCAGAACATGCTAGAGAACATTTTCCGTATGATAGTTTTTGGTGCATGCTATGTGACGAACAATTTAAATTCAAATTGCTAGCTATTAAGCATAAATGTCCGAATGATACAAGTAAAGTGGAAGAAAATAATGACGGCGATTTTGAAAGCACAGCGCACACCAAATATCCCAAAACATTTGAGAAGATTATAAAGAAATTTTGTCCTGAATGCAACTTTGAAGTGCCAACAATGAAAGCTTGGCGTTGGCATATAAGTAAATACCATGAAATGACAACACTTACCGGTTTACACATGAAACAAGCCAAGGGAAATTTAGTAGAGTGTTTAATTTGTCAGGTAAAGACGACATATGTAAGACGTTTAGATCATCGATTTGTACATCTGCCATTTAAGCCCTATCAATGCAGATATTGTTTGGAATATTTCATCGAAGTTGAAAAGGCGAAAGCGCATTGTGGTGATTGTGCTGTTGCACCAACGGAATTTGACGAAACGGAGAAAATAAAAAAGCCGCAAGCAAATAAGCGTACATCTTCCAAAGGTATGGAAACAAAAATTGATAGTAAGAGAGCCAAAATACAAAAAAAACGCGAAACTATCTCACATGTAAAAGTAAACTCGTCCAGTGAACGAATAGACTCCGAAAGTGAAAATGATAATACAGACGCCAACAGATGTATTAGTGTTGTACTTACAGATGATAATGACTTCGCAAAGTTCATACGTATAAGCTGTCCATTATGCCCGGATACAGAATTCGAATCGAATCTAATGCTGACGCGCCACTTCAACGAAGCTCATAACAACTTTCGCGAACACTTCACAATTCATCAAACAAATGCTGCGAATTGTAAAACATGCAACAAGTATTTTAATATCGTATACAAAAAAACCATGATCAAGCACTATTTAAGTGAAATTAATGCTACATGTTTCTGTTGCCGTCTATGTGATAAAAATATACTATATTTTGAAACAATGCGTTCACATCTGTTGGACGATCATCAGGCTGTGATTGCCGGTCAGCAAACACATGAGAATAACAACACAACCGCAGAAACTGGTGAGGAGGTCGATCCTTTGAAAGTAACCGCTGTGGATATATCGAAAGTGTCGCGTACAACAATGGCAATACCGAGCGTTAAAACTGCGGTATTTAATGAATTTAATGCCTACATTTCATATGCATGTCCCGAATGCAATGAGCCCTTCGACACATCCGAACAATGGCATTTACACATAAACGGTGCACATAGTTTCTTCGAACAACATCAGCTGAATATTGAAGCCACATCGGATGGTTTTAAACGTTGCAAACAGTGTAGTGTTAATATAAGTGGCGGCATCCTGGCCGAACAAAGACACAAGCTAACACATATGCAATACAAATCGTTCATTTGTATTCTCTGTCAACATCGTTCGACCACGTTAGGTGTGCTCACACAACATTTTCGCCGCCGTCACTTTGCCAAGGGCACGTTTAAGTGTGTTTTATGTACAAGTGTGCTAAGTACTTCTTGTGAACAAATCGAACATATGAAGAATGAGCATGATCCCAGTGAATATCCATCGAAATTATGTCGCGTCTGCTTCAGCATGTTCAGTTCGATTAACTCGCTGAACACACATATGGATTTGCATAATCCCAATCGAAAAGTGTTTCAGTGCGACTATTGTGACCGTTATTATAAGTATAAGAGGGAATTGGGTTTACACGTGCGTGCTAAACACCCCGAACAAGAAGCCAAAGCCAGTGAAGGAGATAACTAAACAATTATTTTTATTTACTTAGAAAATTAATTAAAGGTAATGATAATGGTAAACTTATTTTAAACATAAAATTTTTTAGATTGTCTATTGCTATCAGTCAAATCAAGAGAACAAAGTGTATTGAGATAAATGTACTATATTATGTATATAATGAATATATATATATATGAWATAATGTGCAATGAATTGGGCGCTGTGAGTTATGATAATGACTTTTCATTGAGTTATCGACGGTTCCACTAACTGTTGTGCTTTTGTTGCTGCTACAACAAAAATAATTATATCAAACAATGAATACAACAAAAAATACTTTCTAATACTCTATATAATTTTAACTATTTTTTAGTGTTTCTTGGTTTAGCAAACATGGTTTAAAAAATTACAAAAAAAAAAAAAAATAATAATAGTAGCAGAAATGAAATTAAGCTCAAATGAAACGTCATATGGAGATTTCTGYAAAATGTTAAAAGATTTACATATATTTTTAGAGAATCGCAATTAGTTACAATTATTAAAATATTGTGTCACGCAGCTAGAGGTTACATGCATTTTGTTACTTATATATGTATGACATAAAATATTTATTTATTTTTCGGTATGCTATTTTCCTTTTTATATTAATCTACATTATATTAATATTTATACATTTACTAATTTGTTTTATTTTAATATTAACTTCATGTACTTACTATATATGTATGTATGTATACACATCTAGATGTGTATAAGAGACAGAAATAACATAGTAATTAACATTGACCCGAAAACTTA